AAGAAGAAAACTCGCATGACACGTAATCGGAACAACTTCGGTTGGTAGAGAATAATTCAATTTATGCTGTCAGTCTCAAAGAGAAAGTCATCAAAGTGTTAAGCCATCAATTAATCTAGGCTCAAAACGCACGGGAACAACTGCTTGTAAACACGTAGATTCAGGTTCGATCCCCATATTACATCATTCTTTCCAAAAATGGTCTGAAAAAAAAGATACAATTTAAAAAATTTTAAAAATAACCATAGTAGTCATAACAGGGGCGGATCTAGGATTTTCTCGAGGGGGGGCGGATTTTCCATTTTGTCGATCTTTTTTTTAGGCAGATCAAATTGATTTTCCGAGCTCTCCCAAAGCACTACAAAAACCCTGTTCTAGCCAAAACTTCTGCGCCGCAGGCAAAATTTTGCAAAGCAAGCCAAAAAAGGCGTTTTTAGGCCTTTTTTGGAAAATTTTGACAAAAAAATGCGTTTTTTCGGCGCGCGCTCCTCCCTCGTAATTGGTATTCATTGGCGCCCTTAGGGTCCGTCACTAAAAAAGGATAACTCAAAATAGTACAAAGGGAGGACCCTATGGGTCGTTAGGGGGTTGTTATATGCCAATTTGACAATTGACAACCATCTTAGATGACTTCAACTTTTCATATGCAATCTGGAAAACTCCGCGAAATTAATCGAAAACCAGAACTCAGCAAATGAAAAAAATTGCGAAAAAGCGAAACTGAATTACCAAACACGTGCAACCAACTTGTTTATAATCCGTTCAACGTTTAAATTCAGAAAAAGCTCAATTACACCGTGTAAACTAGAAACGATTACATGATCGTTTTCTATAGGGTCGAATCCCTGAGAAGAGGCGTCCGCCCCCGCCCTAAATCCGCCCCTGAATCATAATAAGTATAGCAGTAACCATAATAAAAATCATACTAAGAATGATCATCATAATGAAAATAATAATGGAAAATAAATTTATCAACCGACAAGAGAAGTTTCATCAACCATCAACTCATACCTTAACAAGTTCATTTTCTATATGACACTCAGCTAAATTGCCAGAAACCACACCCTTGCTCTACCCCTTGACCGAGCTGGAAACACAATTTGTTTTTAGTGTAAGCCAAGGAACGCTCGATTTGCTTTGCTTAAGATTTAAAAAAAAAATTAAAAAAATCGGTTTAACAATTCGGATCGCCATAGCATAAATTTGGTAAGGGGACATTAATTTTACGTTTGATTCATAACATTTTCCGCCTGCTTAAGTATCGGAACGAACTACTATCAAGTATTTGTAACTTTCATTTGCCGGTTTTATTTCCTTATACTGATTTGAAAATATAGTTACCACACCATTGTTTTTTTGCTTCGATCCTTTTAAGTTTAGGTCTAGCTACCTAGGACCGGAACTAATAAAGTAGGTCAAAACTATCAACGGATACGACATCTGCGACAACTGCAACGACAACAACGATCAGCTACATCAAACTAGTCATGCCCAACAAAATCGATCCCTTTCAGAGAAATCTTCTCATCGCCCAACTAGAGTGCCTCTTCAGACGAGTACGAAACGCTATCAATGACATCAAAACGAACTACAACATAGCGGACTAAGAAACCGAGATGATGAAAAATCTCAGCAGTTTGGAAGACGTCACTACGTACCCTGTAGACCACACGACTGAACACGCCACAGCGGAGGATCTCATCAGTCGCTTCACTAATATGAAAGAAGAACACGACGATGTCATGGATAAACTTAGACAAATGCTACAAGAAAATATCGCAGAGACAACACCACAACAGCAGAACACTGATGCCACCACAGTTTAAGCACCCCACACAGCTGATTCAGCGCAACAACAGCCAATACTAGATCAGGACTCTAGACAGACGTCAACATTATCCAGCAGCAGCCATCAGCCGGGATCATCAGCACAGCAAACAATAGAGGACTAAAACTATTCAGTATTCAGTTAGCCGAGATACTCAACAGCAAGTCACCGAGACAGGTTTCGAAATCAACAGACCGCCGCTTTAACAAACAGAACACGACACCACCAACGCAAGCCTCAGTTTCAACATAGTTACAGCCCCTAATTCTAGCAGCAGATTCTCACAAATCAAGTAACGGACAGTCGCGAACGAACTACTATCTCATGACTAGATCCCCAAAAGTAAAAATTGAGCCTTTCGACAGAAATCTTTGATATGGAGCATGTGGTTCGGACTCTCCGAAGCAACAATCCACAATCAACCTATCTCGGACGCCAAAAAGATGACTCATCTGCAGACTTTAACGATTGCAAGAACAAATCAAGCTATTTCCGGTTATTCCTGCAATAGCACTATGTACAACGCTGCCCTGCAAGAACTACGACCACGCTATGGACAACGCGACATCATCATCAATGACCTCGTCAACAGACTACAGAGCTTCAAGCAACCATCAACTCATCACAGGGATTCGTAAATGGAATTCTCTACATTCATCAGTAACTTGTTTGAAATGTATCGGACGCTTGGGTTCAAAGACAATTTGAACTTTACAATATACGTACAGTTTGCCGTCAGCAAGTTGCAACATCGCCTACAACATCGACCAGCCTAATCTCATCGCCCTCAACGACTGGATAAAACAGTTTGCATTAGCATGCAATCAATTACCGCCTAAGCAACCTCAGCAAATGACTCTGGACTCGAGCGATCGACAACAAATAGCGCCAAGACTTCAAAGCCAACGGATCTCGACCATCAACCAACCAGCCTTCACAGAAGACTTTTCAAAATTCGAATGCGAACGCCCGACCTCCATGTCCCTGCGACGGACAAACTCACCACCCAGCATACTGCAGCGAGTATCAAAATTCATCTTTGAAAGAGAACAAGAGACTCCTTTCCGAAAAGAAACTTTGTTACAATTGACTTCGACAACATTAAGTGAAAGATTGCCCATCAAAAGACACATGCAGCAAATGCAATCAGCATCATCACACAACTCTACACGACGAACAACAAATACAATGAACACCAAAGCTTAATCCAAACCAGCGACCGAATCAAGTCAACCACCTTGCCAGCCAAAAGAAGGTTTCAACAGCTAACTGCTGCTACTTTTACCAGTCACCTTACGACACCGCAACATATACCTTAATGTATATGCCTTTCATGTACAAACAGCTACATATCGCAACCGACAGCAGCATATCTTCAACTGGAGGAAACTAACCATCAGGAACACTTCTCATAGGAGGTTACTTCAACTCGCAAACGATAGACGCTAAGACCATAGATATTACAGTTCATTCATTTGAAAACAACACTTTAGCATTTGACCTAAATAATGTTCTAGTCAAAGAGCACATCAACTTAAATGCAGCGGAGCCCGAAAAAATGAACAACAATTGCAGCTAATACGACCACCTTAAGGATATTTGTTTTCCAGACTTCAAAAACAACGATGTAGCACTTGTGATTGGAATGGACAACGTTGACCTAGTCAGCCCGAAGACCATCACCAAAGGAAATCAAAATGTTCCTCGAGCAGTCCTTACAGTCCTGGGATGGACAATAGCAGGATCGAACAACGACATTGGATAATTCTTAAGCCATCAAGCAACAGCCACCCCAATACAGATATCAAATGACAACGCACAAATCTCGGATCTTCTCCCATCTTTCTTGCGAATGGAAACCTACGCCACATCACCTGAATTAACGATGCCATCGGAAAAAAGACACGCTAAGCAAACACTTAGGAATCCATATCATACGACAACCGCTACCAACTCGGACTTCTGTGAAAACCAATTGCGAATCTTCCCAAGAACTATAAAGCAGCAATTGCCCAATACCACAGGATGGAAATTCAACTTTACAAGAAGTCAGAAAAACTCGACCTCTACCAGGATACAACTGACCAAGATCTCAGAAAGCACTACATAACCAAGCCAGACAAAATTCCTTCGACAGGATGGATTTTAACCTGAACATGGCGTAACTAACCCAAACAAGCCAGGAAAACTCCGCTGTGTTTACAATGCCAAATCAAAATTTAAAGAAATTTGCCTAAATGACATGCTTCTCATTGGACCTGATTTGCTCTGCAATCTCTGCAACTGCAAAATGAGACCGAGTGTTATATGCCAATTTGACAATTGACAACCATCTAAGATGATTTCAACTTTCCATACGCAATCACGAAAACTCCGCGAAAAAAATTGAAAACCAGAACTCAAAATAAGAAAACTGGGCAAATAAAAAGTTGGGAAAATGCAAAACTGAATTACCAAACACGTGCAACCAACTTGTCTATAATCAGTTCAACGTTTAAATTCAGAAAAAGCTCAATTACACCGTGTAAACTAGAAACGATTACATGATCGTTTTCTATAGGGGTCGAATCCCTGAGAAGAGGCGTCCGCCCCCCGCCCCTAAATCCGCCCCTGAATCATAATAAGTATAGCAGTAACCATAATAAAAATCATACTAAGAATGATCATCATAATGAAAATAATAATGGAAAATAAATTTATCAACCGACAAGAGAAGTTTCATCAACCATCAACTCATACCTTAACATTTTACTTTTGATTTAAAAATCATATTTTTTCAGATTATTCTGGATTTTTACAAATATTAATATATTTTTCTCGAACGACAAAAAAGCTAACCTGTAAAAAGGCCAAACACTTTTTTTCAAAAGACTGCCCCCACCTCCGATCTAAAAAATCTGAGCGCGTTAACTTTTTTGGTATTTTGAGAACTATGTCATAACAAGTGTAATAGATATGTTTTTTTAACCATTGTAGTAAAAATGCAACCTATATATACCAATGAAACAACATTTAAACGCCATTTTGACATGCTCTGCTCTGTCTGTGCTGTGGCAAGTATTTTTCAAGATTGCCCTTTTTGATCGACATAATAGACATGCCCAGAATATTTGCATACTTAGCACAGCAGGGGAGAAATGTTTTCGCGTGGTGTTAAAGAGTGAAATCTTACCGGTGCAAATTTTATATTCCGGAGAGTCTGCACTTTCGAACCCAGATGGGCATGCAGATGAGTCTTTGTAGACTGACTTGAACACAATGCGGTAGACTGTTGATGCAGTGAGTTCTGCAGCAGTTTCTGTGCTGATGTCCATATCGGCCGCCACGGCTACCCGGCCTGGAGGTGTTCCGAGAGGCACGTTCGGAGTGATAGACACGAATTCATATTCTGTTATTCCACCTGAAGCAAAAATATCAATTGTTAGCGATCATTACGAGGCCAAACTGTGCACTGGATAGTCGCACAATTTTGTGTCGGTATGTTCCTGGATTCCAGATACAAGTCTTTAAACATGTGGAAAATTTGTCGGAACGATCAAAGAGAATGAAAGAACAATTGAAAAGAAGAACAAAGGGAAGAGACTAAGGGTTCCACTTGTCAGTCAAAAGATTGGCGGTTCGAGGCCACCAAAAACAAAATTTTAAAAAGTTTTCTCGAGGGGGGGGGGCGTAATTGCAAACAGATTTCATAATTTTGTCGACATTTTTTAGGTCGACCAAATTGATTTTCTTAGTGCTCCTAGATCACTTTAAAAAACTATTTTGATTGGGAAAATTTAGCTGCGTTGTTAAAATTTAGCAAAAAAGGTCAAAAATGCCGTTTTGGGGCATTTTTTGGAAACCTTTGTGCAAAAAAAACTTTGCGTTTTTTGGGGAGCGCTGTCTTTCAAAATTAGTAGATAATGGCGCCAAAAGCGCCTTTAAAAACTTTAGGATTGGTTGCCCGAAAATGGATGTCATAGAATAAATTCAAAGATGGACAAAAAAGTAGTCAATATTATTTGGGCAAAAAAATTTACCGGTACATCCGATTTTCATGACACATTAAACCGTTTTTAGGGGATTTTGATTATTTTTAAAATCAAAAACGATTATATTCCACTTTATCCTACTTTTGTTTTCAATATAATTGATTTTTTTGTTCATCTACACAATCAATTTTTATGTAGATGCGTAGATGTTTAATGTTCATCCCCGAGTACACCCCGGCTCTTTTCCAGTTCCCCCCTTTCAAATTCAATACTGAAAAGTCTATTTAACATTGTCCGACATCCGCCCATACTTTAACACCTTCTCAACTCCACAAAAATCATAAAAGTGTAGAGAGGGGGATTAAAGGAGAAGGGGGTTAAAAGTAATGGGGGAGAGGGTTCATAGGGTAAATAAAGGTCAGCAAAAAATAGGAAGGTTTCTGTATTTCTCGATATCTAAACCAAATTTTTTAAAACTTCCTTCAGTCCTATATTTCCAAATCTCCATTCACTTTTTTGTCCCTTTTTTCGGCTCTTTTTCCTTTTCCCCCCCACCTCACATAAGCGTCAATTTTATGGTGTAACGAGGGGTTTTACAAGTTTAATTATGAAGACCAAAAATGTTTTTCATGGCCTAATAAGTTCGCATGCCAATTTTTGTAACATTCGGATAAAGTGAACAAATCTTCACTAGTAAAATTTTGCAAGTGGGGGGGGGGGGAGGAAAAAGAGCCTTTTTTTCTTACTATCATTGTGCCGGCCACTCTTAAAATGGGAGGACACTATGGCTTAGATTGTAATCTTTTCACGCAAAATTAAATACCTCAATGAAAACTTGAATGACTCTTGGATAAAACCTCAAGGTAAAACCTCATAAATCTAATTAACACCAAAGACAAAATTTATGCGGTTGAAAGGACTTTATATAATTAAAAATGAAACGGGTATTTGATATAAATTATGCTCAACCGCTGGATTAATTCATTAGAAGGGTGCGCTGATAATTGCACCCTTACGGAATTGTCAAAATAGGTCCTATGTGCGTCTTAAAATCGCTATTATCAGTGTAAAGTCCAAATACAAAGTCTAAATTTCGATTTTCAGCAAATAGCTAGGCATCTTGAAGTTTCTTGAGATTTTCAATAAATTCCTTCAATAAATTCTTGGTTCAACCTAGAATCATTCAATTTAAGGTTCAATGATTAATTATACAGTGCTGATTTAAATTAACCGGATAAAACGTTTGAATTTTATAATTTCAAACGCGTTTTTCTCAAATTGGGTTAAAATTAGACAAAAAGTGAACAGAAGAAAACTTACTTAGAATTTCACCAGAACTGATATAGTGCAATTTTTTCTCCAAAATTCTCGACCAAAATTGGATCATTTTGGTTTTTTTCAATTAATCAAAAATTACGCTGAAATTGCTTTGTTAATTGATGAAAAACATATATCTCAAGAAGCCTCATACACAGCTCAACAAAGTTCCAGAAAGATTGAATCTCCAAAAATTTGAGTAAACTGTTTAAAATTTGTTTTTAAGCAAAGACTTTGAGTTTTATATAGTAAAAATCAAGTTTCTTGACTATCACGCAAAAACATTTTCTCTTATCCAGGTTTTTGGAGATTCAACTTTTCTGGAAATTTGTTGCGTTGTGTAAGAGGCTTCTTATTATATATGTTTTTCTCCAATTAACAAAGTTATTTCAGCGTAATTTTTGATTAACTGAAAAAAAAATAAAATGACCCATTTTTAAGCTAAAACTTTGGTCGAGAATTTTGGAGCAAAAAATGAACCATAATAATTCTGATGAAATTTTAAGCAAATTTTGTTCTCTTCATTTTTTTTCTAATTTTAACCCATTTTGAGACAAATGCGTTTGAAAATTCGAGGTTTTTTACCCGGGTTGACCAAAAATGCTTGTCCTTCAATTTTCATATAAAAAGAATGCTCATCATAGAACTTCGTACAACTCCATAGATACAGAAAATGTAACAAAAACTCTAAGATAAGCATTTTTTTGTATATGAAAATTGTAGGAAAAGCATTTTTCATAAATCAAAAAATTGATTTTTTCTAAATTTTATTTCTCAAAATTGTTGGAATGTGTTTGTGACCGAACACAAGTGACTAAATCCAAGGTGTACTCAAGACTAGAGTTCCCAAAAGGTTGATCGTCTGGCATTAACATTGCATTGGAACGAATTGAATTGTGTAAGTGTTTTCTTCACAAATCATATACTGAAAGCATCAAATTTTTAAATTTTGGTATAATTTTCAAAGATGATTATTTTAATTTAGAATTGTGAAATTATCAGATATTTATCAAGGCATATATAAACATGCTACATAAAAAAACAGAAAATTTAGCCTGTTTGAGAAAAGTTATTCAGAGAAACGGAAAAAAAATTCAATTAATGTGTATCCAGGACTACGTTATGCAGACAAAAAATTAAAATTTGCAAGCAAATGATTTTTTTGGAAAATGTTTGTTTGTGTACCAAATTCGTTTTGCGGTTGAAAAAAATTAAAAAAAATTTTGGATCATTTTTACATTACTGTACCTCAATTTTTTTCTCACCGGACAGTTTTATTAAAATCGAACAGCCGCAGAAATGAGCTTATTTCTTTTTTCAACCATTTTTTGAATATCCAATTCAGCTTGAAGGGCACTTTTCATATCAATCAGACATTTGTGAGCAAAACATTTCAAGTAAAAATTCGGTATTCTCTAAACTGTACACCACCCCTCTTAACTGTTATATTGGTTTTTTACAGCAGGGGGAGGGGTATAGTGGGCAGGGGCGGATCTAGGATTTTCTCGAGGGGGGCTGATTTTCAAAAAAAAACTCGAAACTTTATTAAACTTTTTGCTTTTTTTTAAGGTGTACTAAACTGATTTTGAGCTCTCAAAAATCCTTATAAAAACCCTACTTTGACCAGATTCTAAAACTTTAAAAAAACAGGCCAAAAACGGAACCGTATTAGGCAATTTTTGGAAAACAAGGTCACTCCCTTCGTTCTTCTTTTGTTATTTCATTGTCTTTGATCGTTCCAACAAAACTTTGACATGTTTAAAGACTTGTCTCTCGAATACAGAAACATACAGACTCAAAATTATGCGCCTATCCAGTGCACACTTTGGCCTAGTAATGTTAATATTATAGAGTATTTTGGCGCCAAAGGCGCTTTTATAAAAGTGTACGATCCGTCAGCCAAAAATGGAGATCTTAAAATATTACAAATGGTAAGGGGGGCTTTTGGGTCTGCACAGGGTCGAATCCCTGAGAGAAAAAAAGAACGTCCGCCCCAGCCCAGCCCCATCGTCCCCCCCCCCCCCCCTCCCCAAAAAAAATCCGCTGGTGATAGTCGGGGTAAACTTTATGATTTTTGATCACGTGACTGTGGTTGTTACATACCTGAGGTGACAGTGACAGCGTCATCGGACCCCTTAATAGCAATGCTCGTTGTTACATACCTGAGGTGACAGTGACAGCGTCATCGGACCCCTTAATAGCAATGCTGCCGTTCGTGGCATTCACAGCCCCATCCGGGATGGTCGGCGGCAGTGGTACTAAAACATACCACAGAGCGATCTGTATGGAATCAAGTGAGTGTCTCTCTTCTTTCTAGATAGAACAAAGTTAAGAACATCCAGCTCAACTTACTACTATTTAGTTTATATATATTAAAATTGGGCTCCTTTTCCTCCCCACCCCCTCCTGCGAATTTTTTTAGTAATATTTCTGTTCACTTTGCCCTATTCTCACAAAAGTTGGCACATTAATTCACAGCAGATTATTTAGGCTACGACAAACATATTTGATTTTCATACGTAATCTTGTAAGCCCCCCGTTAGGCCATAAAATTGATGCTTATGTGAGGTGGGGGAAAAGAGAGCCGAAAACTGCTTAGAACTGCTGTGAGTCGCTCGCTTCGTTTGACTGAAATTCCCCCTGAACGATCACCCCTCCCCTACCCTATACACTTCTATTCGCGCATTGGCTGTTGCAAAACGGTGTGAACGAAATTATTTCACTGTGCGAAAATCGAGCCCACGTTTGGTAACCAGAACAGCAGGTTTTTGATCTTTTAGTAATTTGTGAGTAAAAAATGATGGTCTGTAATCAAGCAAAAAAAATGAAGTGCTAGAAGTCTAAGTTCGGGTTTTAAATTTTTGAATTTGCCAAAGACCTGAATTTCGAACACACCATAGCAAGTTTCAACGGCCCAGCTGCGTTGTTTATCTAGGGTAGCGATTAGACTTGCCGATATCGTACTCAGAGTCACAGCCGATATTTTCAAATGGCTCAGCACTAGACAATTATTGAGCACTGTGTTTAGATTGGATGGTGCAGTTTCACGGAGGTGTAGAAGGTTATGATGCCTTGTGCCGTTTTTTTCAATGTAATTTCAAACTGTTTTGCAATGCTAGTGGGTTGTCAATAAGGACGCCTAAATATTTAAATTTTTTTCACCTTGTCTACAATTTGATCAGCATTTTGAATTATGTTGTTGTTTTTTTAACTAATATAAGTTTTCAATATACTTTATCAGGGTTCAGCAGAAGAGTTCCAAAAACTAAAAAACAACCCAAGAGTGCCAAAAGTTGTTTTCAAAACATTGTTCCTCGAGGACCTCTTGAAAAGACAACGTTTGAAAATCATGCGCGAAGGACTGAAAAGTTTGCCTAACTATCGGCGCTCAATAATCAAAAAATTGTAAGAAATTAATTGTACTCAGATAGAAAAGATTTCCACCAAAAGTAAGCAGATGTTAGTGTCAAATTGTTCAATTTAACTATATTAAATAAACCTGTTTTTTTTTCTGTAGATAATCTGTATATAGTCAGTATACAACCTTTATACAATAAAACCTGTATAAAATCTGTAGATAATTTGTATACAAGGTGTAGATAATCTGTATAGAGTATATATAATATCTGTAAAAAAATTAATTAAATTGCCGAAGAATTATAGAGTTCGCAACATTTTTCATTCTGACAATCCAAAAAGTAATCTTTGATTTTTTTGCACCAAATTCAGCGAACGATTGTTATCAGTTGCTGAACTTACTTGAGGAGAGGTGTTTATTGCAAACTACAAGTTTCGAAAGATCGCTGTAAGATTTTGCAAAAGTATCTTAAATACTGTTTATAGAATCAATTTTTTTGAAAAAAAATACACTGCGCAAAAAAAAACAAAAAAAAATTTTGTAAAAAAAAAAGTTTTCTTTTGTAAAAAAAATGACAAAAAACATTTTGTTTCTGCTGCAAGGTTTTTCCACAATACTGATTTAAAATTAAAAAGTTTTCTTCGGATCAAAAATCAACACAAAAATTTTAATGAAAGCCTTCTTACAATTTTAACTCAATATACTCATATTAGCTGATGATGAGTATGATTATAGAAAATCAATATGTAATCTGTTTACAATTTGTATATAATTTGTAGATAATATGAGTATGAAATGTAGATAATCTGTTTATAATCTGCATAAGATCTGTATATAGTACGCATCAAGTTTGATACAGAAAAACAACAGTTGTAGAGTGTTTTGGTAATGTAAAATTATGCAATGAAGATATAAAGAATAAAACTTTTGCAAAACAAAATGCATTTAATCGATTATAAAAACAACACAACCGAAGTTTTACTACATAAAATTAAAACAGATCTGAAATCTGTATAATTTTTCGTAGATAGTCGTTTTTATCCTTTTTTGTCACTGCGGGATGGCATTTTACTGATATCTAAACTTTTTCACGTGGTTCTTCGGCTTTTTTTTCAAATTCCAACGGCAGTTTTTTTCGAAGCTACAACTAACAAGCTGTCCCACAAATACTGGAAACAAACATAAGAGAGGCTCACCCAAAACAGGTAGAACCTACTAAAAGAGAACGCAAAAGACTCATCCGATAGACTATATGAAGACAACTTGAGAAATAACTTGAATAGGATATCGTTGACTTCACAATGTAGTTTATTTGGTTTCTAAACAGTAAACTGGAAGTTAGAAGACATCGAACAATCGTTTAAGTATTATCAGCTTTAGGAACCACTTGGTCTAACCAGCATATAATCTTTGATGGTCAGTAAACTCTTCTTGCTCCAAAAAAATGATAATAAAAAAAGAAATGAGAACAAGATCGAAAAGACGAAAGTGGTATATTTTTCAATTAAATGTGTCATAAATGTAATTTTCCCATGACCTAAAAAAATTTTCTGGAAAGTTAAGGACTTATTTCAACAAAATTGCAACTAACTATAGAGAAAAAGATAAACACTTCTGAACAAAAAATTAATCTGAAATATCAATTTTGGAGGCAAAACTTGGTCATTACTGGCGTATTGTTTTTTAAGTTATTGAATTAATTAGGATTGTTCCGATGTCAGCTTTTTTCTTCTCCCCCCACACCTTTCAATTTCAAATTTGAAAGACTAGTTAAACATGTCATAATGTCATAATGAAACTTGGCATGGCGAATAACTAACAATAGTGAACAGATATTTTCTTAACATTTTACAACTTGAAAGGTGGGGGGGGGGGGGGGGGGGTGGGGGGGGTCGTGGAAAAGAGCTGCTTCACTACTTTTTGTTTAACCTACCAGTGCAGCCCGTATCTGTATCGGGTGTGGTGTCCGGGGCTGTAACAGTATATGCTGTTCCAGGGGTGAGACCGGTGATTCCTACTACTCCTGATACTCCAGGAACTGCCGTACCGCCGGTTACAGTTGTTCCAGCAGGACATTCAGGAGCTCCTGTGATATCGGAGCAGGAAATTGTTAGACTTGTCGTATTCTGGTCGTCAATTGTTACACTGACTGGAAAGCACATCACAATCATAATTAATGCAAGCCAACAAAATATTTATGAAAAACAAAACTGAAACAAAAAAATTGGCAAATTTTTTGAAACTGAGTGGATTTTTTCATCTTGCGTGGTACTTGAACGCCCGAAACTTTCAATCCACTTATTGAAAATTGTTAAAAGGCTAGAAAAAAGTATCATGGAATCCGCAACAAGGTTTTTTATCTAAAGTTTTGCTAAAGTTTTGCTGTGTTTATCTAAAGTTTTGCTAAAGTTTTGCTAAAGTTTTGCTAAAGTTTTGCTGTTGTGAAAGCCAGAGACAAATGATTACAATCTAGCGCGGCTTCAAATATTAGTTCAATGAAATATAAAAAAAAACACAAGATGGCAAAAAACACATGGAAAGCAAAAAAACCGAGACGAGAACAATTTCCAAATAATACACTGAACAGTTGATCAACAATCACTGATTTTGCTTAACTTCTGCACCCGAATATAAAACATCTACTCCCGGCTATCATAATTTCTTCCATTTTGAATTTTATGGGGAAGTTATCAAATACATCAGACACGCTTGCGATGCGAATGTCCATTAAGAACTACAAGACTGCTCGTAAATCCGGGCAAAGCCCTGAATGTTCCGACTGTCCCTTAATTCATATCGAATAGTTTTTGGGAAAAGAAAATATTGAAAACTTATACATTTTAGACAATACCAAAGTGCGAAATGTCGAGTCGTTCCAAATTATTACGAACGATCCGATTAGCAAGCCTATATTCAAATTGGGACGTTTTGCTGAGCGAGATAATTCACCACGCATAAAAAATTCGCTTCTCAGCGTTATGAAAAAAATCTTCAAAACGCGCAAATTTTAGTCCAGAACATGGCCAAATTTCAAACACTCAGAACTTTTAAAAAACAATCGGAGTGTGATAACTAAAGCTTTATCCTTGATAAGTAACTGAAAACGAAAGACTGATACCTTTAATTTAGACTCATGCTGTTAGTCTTTTTATGCAGAGGTTTTGATCTTCACTCTCTGATATACAAACAGTCAAGTGACCGTTTTAGATAGGCCTGCTAGATGGCCTGGAGCATATAATAACAATACATAACAAATATAATAATCTAACTTTCCAAGGTTACTGTGGCAGCATTCCTACACAGTATCACATTCCCCTGAAGGCAGCAAAATTTTATTAGTACCATATAAAATTTTATATACACTATGAGTTTTAATGCTCAGTTTAATTGGTTTATTGTTTTTGAGTTTGCTCATTTCCCCTCCCTCTGTTTCTTTTCTGTCTCGAACTGCAACGGCATTCTCCACGAGGAGTTCCATGATTTGGATATGTCCAGCGACGAGTGGCCGAATCTTCGCCAAAATAATTGGCGTTCCAGTAATCCAAATTTTGATTCTGTCAGTTTTCCAGTCTCCTTTTCGAAATTTGCCAATCTTATCCGGTATGCCTCGAGAGCTGCCATGTTCAAGTCAGTAATGTCAACCTCACAACCAATTAGCTTTAATGAAAGTGACACTGGGATTCCGTATCGCTTCGGCCCCTGATTTTTGCTTTGTCGGCCACTTCGTCTGACTACTGTTTGTTCTTCCTCCTGATCTGAATCATCCGAGAATCCTGGTGGGGGAACCTCAACGATTGCATCCGCCTTTGCTGTGAGGATTTGTTCCGCTTCTTTTTGGAGACCTCTAGTCAAAACTTGTTCCGTTAATTCATCCCATTCTCCCGGTGTCACATCTTTATTCTGGAACATATCCAAGATTTCTTTCTCATTTGTTTGACGAGTGATACGTTTGGTTCCTTCCTGGTTTTTCTTTGCATTCGACGAGTTTGGTGTAGCTTTGTCATCCTTCGGCTCCGTGTTTACTGCTTTTGGAGCTTTTGTTTTTCGGGCTTCTTGCGCTGTCGGCTTGGATAAACCGCCCTTTCTGTTATGCGATGAGGGTCCTTCATTGTTCGACTTTGTCCTTTTGACGGCCAGATTCAAGCCACCCCCCGCCTCTGTTTCCTTTGAGGTTACAATCGTCGGACTACTCTGAAATCTATCTTTGGTAGTGATGTCCTCATTTGGAACCGTACGATACTCCCTCTGATTCGGGTTAGCGTCCTCGTCATTTGACTCACTTTCTACTTCTTCTTCTCTTGCTGTTTTCTGCAGGTTACTTCTCGGTTCCTCCCCCGTTGGGCTCCTTTTTTGATCTGATCCCTTCACTGCAGGTGCTTAAGGTACCTTTGACATTGCTATGTCGCTTTTCCTGTATACTGCACCTGCAGCTATTTTCACGGTAGATGGTGTTCGGCAATTATTCTAGCCATGAGCGGAATTGTGAGAGCCTTCCCACTCTTTTTTTGTTCGTTTTTCCGGAGAACATTGCCTGACATAAATGCAGTGTCGTTGTTCGGCTTGTTCTCTATAAATCCTTTCTCCCATGAGTACAATAACACTGTCCTTCTGAAATCGTTGGCCGACGTATCTCTCCTTGTGGCGTTCCATCGTGCCCTTGCCTCTAATAACTGTTTCAGTTCCTTCGCTCGTTCTCGTTCTCGGGCAGCCAATGTATGGGGTTGAAACAGTGGGCTTACGTCCCGGCTGGTCTGCCCTTTCCCGACAATTTTCACATTGTCCCTTGATCGGTCATTTCTTCTTTACAGTTGAGAAGCTGTTAGTGCAGAGCGTTCCAGATGCTCTTTATATGAACGACCAGATTCATTGATGAACTTATCTCTTAAAATTTTAAATTCATTTTTCGGTAATCTTCCAAAGTGTGCTTCAAATTGGTACCGTTTGATTGTTTTTGTTTGTTGACGAGACGTTTTCATCCAAAAGCATGACACCGACTCTTCGCTTAATTGTCTGTATTGTTCTTTCTACTAGACCACACCCTCGGTGATCTCCCAACGGACAGAGTTTTTGTTCTAAATTGTTTTCTGCACAAAAATTTTTCATCGACTTTCCTTTGAATCCGGAAAATTGGTCCGTTTTAATTGACTCCGGTATTCCGTGTGTGTCTATGTATGTGCGTAGAAATTTTTTTGTTGATTTTCACCCAGTAGACTTTGTAAATTTAACCGACGGAAATTTACAGTATCTACCAATAGCAATCAGTAAGTATATCTTCTTCCCCTTATGTGGTCCTCTTCTTCCCCTTATTTGGTATCAAGTGGTCCCGCATAATCTAATTGCAATTCTTGACCTGGCTGCGTCAGCAGTGGGAGCGGTTTTGACCAGTATTTTGGAATTATATATTCAGCATTCTTACAAGAGTGATTGCAACTCTTACACTCCTCGGCCAGGTTGACAATGTCCTTGTGCAAATGAGGCCACCACAAGTAATTTGATACATCTAACACCGCCTCCTGGCCCGGATGGCTTCGATGAATTCTTCTTAGGACTGCCTGCCTTAGCTTTTCCGGCACTGCTGGGCAATTGTCGACCAGAATACAATCCTCCAAAACTGACAGCTGATGCCAGAGAGGGTTAGTGTATGGTCCCATGAGTTCGAACCCGTGGCGATCATTTCGTTCCACTACCTTTCTCAGCCTGTCCATCCACGTGTCCTCTGTCAGGAGCTCAGCCAGTAGACTTTTGTCAAATAGTTTCGCTGGTTTCAAGGGTCCGTTTTCAGCGGGCAGCTGCTCCGCCAATTGGAATTCGTTTCTTCTGGACCTGTGGCTAACCCTTCTTGCCGCTTTTGGTGTTAATACACGTACTTCTGGGCTGACCTCTCTGTCTTTCGAGCTCTCCCCTGTTAGGTCCACTTCTATGACTTTGGTGCCTCCGTCGTTTTCGTCCCTTATGTAACACTCGATTGTTGCGTTTGGACTCTGCATTGATGATTTCGCTTCTAGTTCGAGCATGGATCTTGGGCTGTCTTCCCTCTCTGCTCCGACTAGGTCCCAGAACGAAACAAGCGCTTGTCCTGTTGTCGCAGTTGATGTTGATGGTCCGCACTTGTCGTTTTTCGCCCTTATGTATCACTCCATCGCTCTCCATTCGATTTGGGGAATTTTCTGAATCTGACTTATTAAGGGTTCGTTGAATTTTCCTTGTCCGTTGAAATGTCGTCTCGGTGACTTCTTCTGTCAAAGTATCTCCACTGGTCCGATCTTGTATCCTTACTGTTTTGCGTCCTTTTCCACTGTTCGGATTGTTTTCGCCTATTTTCATTTCACTTTTTTTCTGATCAATTTTTCGTTTTTATAATTTTCGGATTCTCTGTAAATTTCTGAATTTCTTTCAACCGACTGTATTGAATCACAACTCTGAGATAAACTGATTTCCGGTTTTGCTCTGTTTTCTCGTTGAAACGATCTAGAAAGATAGTCAACTATGCCCAAGTCTTTTCCCGGTATATGAACAATCTTGAATTGATATGGCAGTAATCTATCCACCCATCTAGTCAATCGGGATTGATGTGTCTTATTTGACCTATTTTCATCTAAAGCCTAAGTTAGGGCTGTGTGGTCTGTAGCTATCACGAATTCTTTTCCTGACAGATAGTGTTTAAACCGGTAAACGGACCATACTACTGCTAGCAGTTCCAGCTCATTTGTCGAGTGTTTTTTTTTCTTGTAAACTTAAATATCTCAACGCAAAAGCAATTGGTACCCAATCCCCTCCGGCTCTTTTTTGCTGCAAAGTTAAGCCTAGTCCGCTTTGATTAGCCTCACATTTTACTCGGGCATCCTTTTTAGGGTTATAATAATATTTTTGTGTGATATTTACCACTGCCCTTTTTATTGATTCAAATATTTCCGAATGTTCTTCCCCCGATGCGAATTTTTAAATTGGAATTTTGACGCTTTTTAGCTTCTTTTTCTCATTTTCTTCTCGCAATAGGGGTCTCAGTTTTTCTGTTAGGCTAGCCGCATTTGGAATAAAATTTGCCAGATGGTTTATGCTGCCCCATAAAGGATCTGAGTTGTTTTTCGTGATTTCGGCGGGCTTAGTTGCAATATCGAATCCGTTTTCGTTATTTTTGGTGTAATACCTTCCGGCGATAGCTTATGCCCTAACCAGTTTACCTCTGTCTGAAAAAATTTGCATTTGGAGAGTTTTAGTGCTAAATTTTCTTCATCGAGTTTTTCCAGAATGGTCAGTGCTAATTTTTTGTGTTCCTGTTCGCCTCCTTTCGACTTAATGAGGATGTCGTCGAGAAAACAGAAAAGGTTTTTCGCATAATTTATAGTTCGATTTATTGCTTTTTGGAACTCTGCTGGCATGTCAGCAAGCCCATAAAGTCCGGTAAGAACCTGTATGTGTCATTGGCTTGTCCTTCTATGATGTTGACGTTGCATTGTTTTGCTGTTTCCGCAGTCAATTTTAGTTGACTGTAAGCATATTTCAGGTCTAGGAATGACAAGTACAAAGTACCCTTTGTGTTTGCTTTTACTATTTGACCAACCCCATCCAATATTTTATCGACATTTGGCATTTGTTATTTGTTTTTGAACAATTGCCTGTTTATGGGTTTTGGGTCCAGCGCCAGTTTTATTGAATCATCTTTTTTTACTGTGATTACAACTGGTGCTAAAAAGCAGTCGCTAGTACATTTGTCCAGACTGACGTTCTATATGCCCTTCTTTCAAGAGATTATTCATTTCCTCATTTACCTTTTCTTGAAAATGTATTGGTATCCGTCTCCCCTTCTCTTGTAGTGGGCAGAGTGGGTATTTGAACTTTGTACTGACTACATGATTTTTTGAGCAACCCTGATGATCAAAAATTTTTGTGAATTTACTGTAAAACTTTTGTTTTCAACCTTCTGACTGCTCACACAGTAGCACGTTAAACCTCGTTTTATCCCTCGGTGCCAGCTTTTGGGTAGTATATATCCCCATTTTTTTCTGTAAGTCCAGCCCCAATATGCATCGTGTGCGCCGCTCTGTGATGAGAAATGATGCTCTCACCACTTCCGCTCCTGCTGAACGAATGTTTGTGGTGATTGCCCCCAATAAAGTAATCAGTTGTTTATTGTAGTCTGCGAATTGTGCTGACTATTGGTCAATCTGGACTAGTGCTTTTAACGATTATATTTGTTGCTATTGGGGGCTCCTGCGTATGTCGACTTTCTGGATTTATTTTCTTCCTTCCCCGACAACTGCTTTTTGTTTTAATTGCTTCTTTATGTATTCATCTATTTGCTCGATTGGTGTGGTGTTCTGTTCAATAGACATGATTTTGAACTCATCGCATGAGTGGAAAGACTGAATCAAATTGCACTCCTCATCTGAGCTGGACGTTTTTTGAGCAATCTCATTTACTTGTGGTGACCTGCAAATTTTTGCAAAGTGGTCCGGTTTGGAACAGGTTTTGCATGTCTTGCCCATGGCCGGACATTTTTTCAGAAGGCCTACTCCAAATGGTTGACCGCATTTAGTACAGGGTTTCATTTCGGTATAATTTCTTCCATCTTTCCTGTCAGTTGCTCGTCTCTTATACTGATCCCTCGGTTGTCTCCAACTGTTGGTGTCTTTGTTTCCCCTCGTTCATGATGGGTTCTTGTTTGATTTTCATTGTTGCCCCATGAAATTGACTTGCACCTGCAGCAGTTGTGTTTGATTTTTGAAATGCCTGCGTCGTTTGTTTGCTCTGTTCAAACTTCAGTGCCCTTTTCAACACCTCGTCCGGCGTAAATGTTTCGAACGTTAGTGTATCCTGCAGTACTGTAGTCTTCGTTTTCGATATGAACAGATCGCGAACTAATTCGTTTTCGAGTGTCCCTAATTCCGCTCTTGCTGCCTGAGCAATTAGTGCTGCATGAAATGCCTCCAATGCTTCTCCTGCCTCCTGCGATCTGTTGGACAGCTTATAACGTTCATACGTGACACTCTGTGTTTTCTCAAACGAAATTTTTGCTAATTCAACCATTTCGCTAAAATTTAGTTTTGAGACTTCTGTATGTGGGTTCTTTTGTTCAAACTTTTTCTTTCCTCCTGTGCCCAATTCTAAGAATTACCTGGAGGCCACTCTTTTCTGCACCTCATGATAGTATACATTGTGACCAACATTAGGTCCTCTTGCTCTCCGTTTTTCATTTTCTAGCAGAACTCTGTCTCGCGCTAGTCTGTCTCTAGCTTTTCTATCTGTGACTGCCTGCACATCTTCGTTTTCCCTCGGTGTCTCCGGTCGTGGGACCGGCTCTTTCAAGACTGGTTTCGGGTCCTCCAGTAATACTTCGGGGTCCACGTTTTCCTTGACCGTGACTGCCAAGAGGAATTGGTCAAGCAAATTCTTAAAATTCCGAGGGGGATCCGAATTCGCCATTGTCCAGAATACACGGATTCCCATGTCAGTTCTATTATCCTGAGACATAAATCCTGCTGGCTCCACCATGTGATAACTAATGCTTTATCCTTGATAAGTAAATGAAAACGAAAGACCGATATCTTTAATTTAGACTCGTGCAGTTAGTATTTTTATGCAGAGGTCTTGATTTTCACTCTCTGAAATACAAACAGCCATGTGACCGTTTTAGATAGGCCTGCTAGATGGCCTTGAGTATATAATAACAATACATAAAAAATAATAACAATCTAAATTTCCAAGGTTACTGTGGAGCAGCACTACACAGTACCACATGGAGGTAAAATCTCACATTAATTTTGAACTCAGGAAATTGATATCTTTACTGGGGTATAAAAATTGTTTGCTGACTTGGTTGAAAACTTTCATTTCGATCGGCGAAAATTGTCCGAATAAAAAACCGCACCGAAAATAAATATTTCGTTTTCTTCGAAAGTCAGAACAACAACTCAGATTTTTATTTAAATTTTAAGCTGTAAAATTGGCGGAAAGCCTTTGATTTCCCTCGCTTCTGCTTATGAATGTAAAAATCCCCTATAATCCCCTCTAGTCATCTCATCATTTGTTGCGATTTGCTTTTTTCTGCCGAATAACTCAAAAGTATTAGTTAAGCTTTCAATGCAGTTGTGCTTTGAAGCAGGGGCGGGTTTGGGGGGCGGGGGAGCGGGGGGGGGGGGGGTAGACGCTCCCCCTTCCTCAGGGTTTCGACCCCCTGCCGACCCAAAGGGTCTCCCCTTTGATACTTTTTCAGAAATCCATTTTTGGCCGACCGACCCTAAAATTTTTCTAAAGGCGCCTTTGGCGCCAATATATACTAACTTTGAGGGGGAGCGCGCACCAAAAAAAACGCATTTTTTTGTCAAATTTTTTCAAAAATTGCCCAAAAACGGCTTTTTTTACTCTGTTTTTTCAAAAACTTGCCTGCGGCGCAGAAAATTTAGCCAAAGTAGGGGCAAAACAGTGCTTTGGGAGAGCTCGAAAAATCAATTTGGTCGACCTAAAAAAAAGGTCGTCAAAATTTTGGAAAATTTTTTGAAAATCCGCCCCCCCCCCCTCGAGAAAATCCTAGATCCGCCCCTGCTTTGAAGGCAAAAAATTTAGAAAGTTGTTGGTATTTTACTTACACAGTGCAGTCAATGAAAAGGCCTCAATTTTCCCTCAATTTTAAAAATTGAACATAAAATTCCCCTATAGCTCACTCTAATGCTCTCATCATATATTTCAATTTTAAAGAGTTTAATCAGTTTTGCAATTGTGATTGCAATTGTGTATTGAATTGCACTTGATTTCAAGTTCTTCTCCAGTCCATCTTAATGCGCTCATCATATATTTCAGTTTTTTCTTCTTTGCAGAATAAACAGGAAGTTTTAGATAAGCTTCCGGTACATCTGTGCAATGAAAGCAAAAAGATTTTCAAGGTTTTTTTTGATTTTTTCTTTTGAGTCGATGGAAAAACTGTGATTTCTCTCGATTTCTGTATTTGAATATATAACTCCCCTCTTGTTCACTCTATTGTTTTCATTATTTATCTATATTTGAACTTTTTTGATTGAAGATTTTATTGATTTTGAATAATGTTTTGATGCAATTGGCATTGAAAATAAAAGAAGTCGATAAATTTTTCCAAGTGTTACGATAGATTATTAACCGAGAGAAATCCTCAGTTTCTGCCATTGAATGAAAAATTCCCCTATAATCCACACTATTGCTCTCAATATTTATGCAAAAATGAAGCGAAGAGTTCTTTTCAAACAACGACAAGAAGCAATGCAAAGAGCATTCGACAAAACTAGTATAATAGGTTAATTAGTGATTAAAAATCGCATCTACCAATTGTAAATTTCTCCTAATTTTTCTTGACTTTTTGAATTTCAAACTCGCGAAACATGTACTTAACGGGATTGTCTGCGCCCGCAAACTTTTTTCAGGTAAATGAAAAAATACTTAAGTTATAAAATAGATATACACTTGCCATATAAGTCGCGTTTTGGTTTTGCTGAAAATTAATTGTGCATACTGGATTACTCACCCGTTGGAGGAGGTGCTGGTGTTGCTAAAACAAATGAAAAACGTATTAAATAGCTTACATTTTTTTCAAACCTCAATTTCTTAGATTTTTTGTCAAGGGCTAATCTAATGGGTGGAAGTTAATGCGCAAAAGTTTGCAACCAAGCATCGCACTTTGAAAACTGAGCTTTAACTGGTTAACAAAATTTTTTGTTTTACCGCGTTCTCATTTGACACGATTATGTATAGTGTATAAATTACTGCTAATAAACGGTGTCCGACAAATAAGACGGCAGTTATTAAGACGAAAACAGTTTTCTACGGTATTTTGAAATGAAGTAACGCGCTAATTCTCCAATTGTATTTCTGAAAATTCGTCGTCTTTTTACTTAAAAGTTTCGTAAATGTTTCGTATTTTATAAAATTCAAACTCGCTAAAATTTGCTTGACCATATTTTTTTGCCCGTAACTCGGTAAGGATGATATGAAATTCTTCAACTCTTTCGTTTTTAGATTTTCCGATTTGCTTCGTTGATTTGCTTCAATTCTAGATTTTCCGATTTGCTTCAATCAAATGGATCAAAGAAAAAATTTAGGACAAAGTTTTCGGTACGAAAACAGAAAATTCTGTTGTTTTGCAGGTACAAAGTTGCAAAAAGAGTCACCTTACAGTTTCGTTTAAAAATACAGACTGGATTACTCACTTGTAGGAGCCGGGGTAGCTGAAACACAAAAGTATGTTAAAAACAAATTGACATTTCACACCTCAATTTCTTGGTTTTCTTACTTTTTTTCCTCATGAAATCAATACTTCACATAAATGACTTCAACTGTTTTGCATGATTCAGTTTGCATATGGATTTTCAGATAAACTTTTTTAATAATAGTTCAATTCGACACATCTTTCAATCAAATAACTCAATTTAAAAAAATCTGACAAAAGTGAAGGCAGGTAAACAGATAATTCGATTATATTGCATGTAGTTATCAACTTCCAAAATGAGTCACGTTACAGTTTTGTTTTAAAACAATGCAGATGGATTACTCACGAGCAGGGGTTGCTGAAACATAAAAAAAAGATTGTTATTCACTAGTGACTTTTCGTTCACACCTGATATCATGGGTCTTTTTACTTATTCTGCAAAAAATCAAAACTTTCATAGTATCAATTTCAATTATTTTGCATGAACCAGTTTGCGTGTAAATTTTCAGATATGCTTCGTTAATAATGTATTGTTTCGGCACATCTTCAACCAAATGACTCAATGAAAAAATTTCGGACAAAATTTAAGGCAAGTAAACAGACAATTGGATTATATTGTATGTATACATTTGCGAAATGAAACACGTTAAAGTCTCGTTCGAAATAATGCAGATTGGAGTACTCACTAGTAGGAGCAGGGGTTACTGAAACATAAAAAGATGTTAATAATTGATAATCATTTCGTTCACACCTAATATTTTGGGTCTTCTTACTTATTCTGCAATAAATTGAAACTTTCATGCCATCAATTTCAACTATTTTGCGTGAATCAGTTTGCGTGTAGATTTTCATATATGCTTCGCTAAAAATGGTTTGTTTCGACACATCTTCCAATCAACTAACTCAATGAAAGAAAGGACAAATTTTAGGTATGAAAACAGGCAATTCGATTATATTGCAGATAGGTGTCAACTTGCAAAATGAAGCACGTTACAGTCTCGTTTAATAATATGTAGATTAGAATACTCACTAGGAGGGGCTGCTGAAACAAAGAAAAAATGTTATTAATTAATTGATAATTTGTTCAAGCCTTGATTTCTTGGGTCTTCTTATTTTTCCGCATAAAATCAAAATTTCAACATCATGAATTGCAACTATTTTGCATGAATCAGTTTGTCTATAATTTTTCAGATCTGTTGAGTTAATAATGGTTCGTTTCGGCGCATTTTTCAATCAAGTAACTCAATGAACAAACTTCGGACAAAAATTAGGGCAAAAAAACAGACCATTCGATTCATTTGCAGATATACACTTGCAAAATGGGTCACGTTACAGTCTCGTTCGATGTTAATGCAATGCAGACAGTAATACTCACTTGTTATTGCATCGGTTGCTAAAACATAGAAAAACGTTATTAACTAGTTGCTTTTTCTTCACACTTCAATTTCTTTGGTCTTAAATTTAATGCTTCGACATCATAAAATGAAATTATTTAGCACGAGTCTGATTCGCTAGAATTAGCCGATCAGATTCGAGCACCAGTTATAAATGAGGATTAAACATACTAAAATTTGTTTCACATAAGCTGCGGAAATTGGTCGAGTAAAAAAGACTTCAGTTAAAAAAAAGCTGACACCCAGATCTGCTAGAAATTCGGCTTTATTCGCAGTCGCTAAATGTTGAAGTGAAAGCATCTCTATTTAACATCAAAGCTTGATAAATTTTTTGTTCTCTGCTTTATAAATTACCTCGCAAAATTACAAAAAATACAAAAAAAATTTAAAAGCTGGGTTTCTTTTAGCAAAATTTGATGTTAAAAAATATATAAGAAGCTCAAAGCTCTCATGTCCCGCCTAAGATTGCGGGTTAAGAAGCCAAAAGATGGTGGAAAATCACCCGAGCACAATACTTGGCCATTCTCTCACAAAAAGTCCCGCCTAAGATTGCGGGTTAAGAAGCCAAAAATTGGTGGAAAATTACCCAAGCACAAATACTTGGTCATTCTCTCACAAAAAGTCCCGCCTAAGATTGCGGGTTAAGAAGCCAAAAATTGGTGGAAAATCACCCGAGCACAAATACTTGGTCATACTCTCACAAAAAGTCCCGCCTAAGATTGCGGGTTAAGAAGCCAAAAATTGGTGGAAAATCACCCGAGCACAAGTACTTGGTCATTCTCTCACAAAAAGTCCCACCTAAGATTGCGGGTTAAGAAGCCAAAAATTGGTGGAAAATCACCCGAGCACAAATACTTGGTCATTCTCTCACAAAAAGTCCCGCCTAAGATTGCGGGTTAAGAAGCCAAAAACTGGTGGAAAATCACCCGAGCACAAATACTTGGTCATTCTCTCACAAAAGCTGAGTTAATTGGAGATATAATTAATAAACCCAAAAACAAAATTTTCGTCCTACAGCAGTTTAAACAATACCTTCAGAATGAATCAATTTAAAAAAATTTGTAGACTAATTTTGAATGAGAAACTGATACGTTGAGCATCCGGAAATTGGAAAACCGCCGGAATAGACTAACACGACTGCTAGTATATCAGGACAAAGCCTTGATTGTTTCGATTGCACTTTAAAGACAAAGGAAAGTTTTTTAATTAAAAAAGAGCAGCAAAAAAATCGGAAAAAGTTTTTTTTATTCCATTTGTCCCATCAACCGGTAGTAACAAAAAGATGTTATTAGTATATCATACACTAATATAATATTAGATCTAAAGCAGGGGCGGATCTAGCATTTTCTCGAGGGGGGCGGATTTTCAAAAAATTTCAAAAATTTTGTCGGCCTTATTTTAGGTTGACCAAATTGATTTTCTGAGCTCTCCTAATTCAATTTAAAGACACCATTTTGACCAAATTTTCCTTGCTGCAGGCAAAATTTTGAAAAAACAGGCCAAAAACGAGTTTTTTTTGGCACCCGCTCCCCCCTCAAAATTGATATATTTTTTTTGGGGTCAGTCAGCCAAAAATGGATATCTCAAAATAGTATAAAATGGGGACCCTTTGGGTCGGCAGGGGGTCGAACTCCTGAGGGGTGAGCGTCCACTCACCGTCCCCCCCCCCCCCTAAATCCGCTGTTGATGAAAATAATAAGTTTTTTCAACAATGGGTCAATGATGTTCAATCAAATGAATCAGCAGCGTTCTGTTAATGTTCCTACAACATTCATATTAATTTTAAAAAAACTGCGGCAGCAAAAAATTCAAAAAATTAATCTATGCTTTTCATATGATAGATCTTGATCGATGTATGGCTACAATGGAAGAATAAAATTGCTCAGATAGGAGTGTATTGTATCAAAACAAATTTTCCTATTACGTTGTCCGAGTTTTGGGTGGATTTTTTACAGAAAAACGATGAAAAAAAGTTGAGTTAATAATCCGAGTTTTGGGTGGGTTTTTTTAGGAGAAACGATGAAAAAAAGGTTGAAATAACAATCCGAGTTTTTGGTGGATTCTTCAGGAAAACGATGAAGCCTGGTTGAATAAGCAACATATTTATTAAAGAATTCGTTTAGCTTACTTTTTAACCACGTTTTTTCCTCAGACAGAAAAGCTTACCGCAACCTCTCCTTTCAATGTTTGCGCATAACGATTCTTTCAAAAGTATTGTTCCTTCATTTTGTTGACGGACAAAGTTCGTAGAAAGAATTTTTGATTAAATTATTTCCACATCAAAAATATGTCCTACAAAAATTCATTTCTTGGCGTGAAATCACTGCTCTCGGCAAAAAATTGAATTTTATTGATGTTTTAGTCGTGATTCAGCGTTAGAAAAAAGTCTTACAATTTTTTCAGTCATAAGAAATCAATTTTTGCCCTCTAATTTCTTTAACTGACTCATTTCTGCTTTCAAAAAAAGTTTTCACTTTTTTAAAGGTTTTAAAAAATCAGCATTTTTTTATTTAGTTCAAGAAGCCGCGTTTAAAAGCTAACAAGATTGTTCGTATCGAGGCCTAAATGTATATTGGTAAAAAAGAAACAAGACTGCTCGTATCAAGGCGACGCCTTGAATGTTCCGATTGGCTTTTAAGGCCTATGGAGCGAGCAGTAATAACGTAAAAAATTTAAATTTAACAAAAAACTGAATGTAAATTGAATTAAACTCAATGTAATAAAATAACAATTTTTTTTTCTAATATTTGCAATTTTTCGTAAAAATCATCCCCCCAAACGCCAGATAAAATACAAAGTGATAGATTTCGCTCCTAGCAACAAATCATTTATGTCAAATAATTTTCCTTAAACCTACTTGGATTGATTTCTAAGACTGATTAAATCTACGCTGACGCGTTAATAGCGCGAAGTATATCGCGCGTTACTTGTACCAAATTGGCCAAAATGGCAATCTTTAAACCCTCATAACTTTACACAAAATGATCACAGGTGAAGTATCTTTTCAAATTTAAGCTCAGCACAATCATATTTTTTGAATATTATTTTAAAATTTTGTGAAAATGGCTAGTTAATAAAACGAAATTGAAGAATATAACAAGACTGATCGCATATCATGGCAAAGCGCCAAATGTTCTTTCCGACTTTCTCTTAATTCAAATTGAATAGTTTTTGGTAAAAGAAAATATTAAAAACCTATAAATTTTAGACATGTGTGAAATTTTGAGTGGTACAAAATTAATACAACCGATGTGATTAGCTAGCCTTAATTCAATTTGGAACGTTTTGTTGTGCGAGATAATTTGCCACGCATAAATAATTCGCGTTACGCTCTCAGCATTATGAATATTTTCGTAAGTGCGCATAATTTAGTCCAGAACATGGCCAATTTGGAAATTTTCAAATCCTCAGATTTTAACAAAAAGTAACTGGAGGTAAAGTATCTTTTTAAATTTGAACTCAAGACGTCGATATCTTCAATAGAGTATAAAAAAAATTTGTTGAAAACTAATTTTTTTCGGTCGGCAAAAATTGACTAAATAAAAAAACCACGCCGAGCATAAATGTTCAGTTTTCTTCAAAAGTCGGAACCAAAACAAAAACCATCCCGAGCACAAAAATTCCGTTACTTTCGTTGCGAATGTCGAACAATAAACATTGATTAAATATGCGATAAAAAAAACCTGAATTATTTTTCGCACACCCAATATTAACTAAATGTGATAATGTTTGCACCTATTAGACTTTAAATTGAAGCAAAAAACAAGCTGAGAATGTTTTCTGATCCAGATTAATTGGGATATCAGAAAACCGATTTATGGAAATTTTTCATGCCGTAAAATTTTCAAATAATCCAAACTGGCAAACTTCAAATCCTGCAACTTCACCAAAAAATTCATTGCAGGAATTGTTGCAGGAATTTTAGAAAAACGATTGTCAGAAAAAATTAAGAAATGACGAAAGCGATTGTTTAAAAATTCGAAATTGGTCTATAATAAATCTTAAATTGTTCATCACTCCATTCATATGTCAGCGTCTCAGCCTTAGTCAGATATGCCGCTTTACTTGCTTCCCGAGTTACCAAGCCATCAGGAGTAAACAAGCCAATGTGTGCGGTCACATATAGTGGTGGATCCGCGTAAAATGCAGCATGGTTTCGCGGGCCATCAGCCAGACAGACCATCATTGCGATTTCTAATGAGACTACTCTTCTAGCTTCTATTTACTTACCCTTCCCGTAACAAAAATCTATTTTATTTGTGAAAATAATCAAAATGTGGTTCCTGCTATCAGTTTGTGAAAACATCCCCCACATGCCATATTAAGTACTAAGTGATAGATTTTGCTCCTATTAACAAATCAATTATGGCATATAATCTTCCTTGAACAAATTTGGAACGATTTCTAAGACGCATTAAATCTCGCTTACGCGTTAATAGCGCGAAATATGTCGCCCGTTAATTGTCCCAAACTGGCCAAAATGGCCAAACTGGCAATTTTTAAACCCTCATAATTTTACGAAAAATGATCACAGGTGAAATATCTTTTCAAATTTAAGCTCAGGACAACAATAGCTTTCGAATGATGAAAAAAATTTCGTCAAAAATGGCTAGTTTAAAAATCGAAATTTGTCTGAAGAAAAAAAAACCCACCCCGAGCACAAATATTCCGTTACTTTCGTATCGAAAGTCAGAACAAAAATTGCATAATGTTTACGCAACTGGAAAATATCGCATCGTATTTTTGATTAGGTGTGATGATAATTTTTTTTTCCACTTGTGATCAGGGGCAGATCTAGGGTTTTTCCAAGGGGGGCGGATTTTTAAAAAAATCGAAATTTTTGTCAACCTTTTTTTTAAGGTCGACGAAATTGATTTTCTGAGCTCTCCCAAAGTACTACAAAGACCTTATTTTTGCCGAAATTTCTGCGCCGCAGCCAAAATTTTGAAAAAACAAGCCAAAAAGGCGTTTTTAGGCACTTTTTAAAAAATATTAACCAAAAAAATGCGTTTTTTCGGCGCGCTCTCCCCCTCCCCCCACAAAATTAGTATATATTGGCGCTCAATGCGCCTTTAGAAAAATTTTAGTGTCCGTCACCAAAAATGGATATCTCAAAATAGTACAAAGGGGGCCCTTTGGGTCGGCAGGGGGTCGAATCCATGAAGAAGAAAAAGCGTCCACCCCTCCAAAATCCGCCCCTGCCTGTGATCATTTTTTCATCTACGATCATTTTTTGTAAAGTTATGGGGGTTTGAAGATTGCCATTTTGGCCAATTTTTGCGCTATTATTGTGTAAGCGAGATTTAATTCGTCTAAGAAATTGTTCCAAATTGGTTGAAGAAGCTTATTTGGCATTATTGCTTTGCTACTAAGTGCGAAACATATCGCTTCGTTTTTTATATGGCGTGTGGGGGATGATTTTCATGCAAAAAATCTTAAATGTTAGAAAAAAATGCGCTTTTTTACATTCAATTTAATTCAATTTACATTCAGTTTTTGATAAATTCAATTTTTCAAATTATTACTGCTCCATAGACCTTAAAAGGCAGTCCTTGCCCTGATACGAGAAGTCTTGTTTTACATAGTGTGTGGAGATTGTTTTCAATAAAAATCTCAGAATAAAACTGCTCCAGAGATTAAATGGCAGTCTGAACATCTTTATGGCTTTGCCCTGTTACGAGCAGCCTTGTTCGTTTGGTTTTGTTACCAGTTTTTTTGCTAGCAATCCGAGGGTCATTCAAAGCGGTAAGAATGACATTTAATATTCGAAAACAATTGAAATTGGGGCTTAGTTGATTATAGTGACGGAAAAGGCTCAGTTGATCCTAAGCAAACAGTGGTCTAAATTAAAGCTGATAAATATGAATACTTGAATATTATGAAGATTCGACCCATGATTCGACTTTGTTCGACTATAGTCTTCGTTCGACCGTCTTAATTTGCGACGAAAATCGAACATCGTTCGACTGTGTCGGTGAAATCATGAGTCGAACACCTCAGCCTGGGTACTAACTACCATAGCAGATAGGGGAGATGAATGTGGCTAAACAGATGCATATATACTTACTGACGGTGATGTTGACCAACTCAGAAACCTCCCGGTTGATGCAATCGTCATGGCTGGTGACATATACTCTGAAAGTTACTTCTGTTTCACTAGAAGCCGATGCGGTGTAATTACTAGTGCTGAAAGTAGCAGTTGATTCTTCAACTCTGGTGAAAGTCCCCCCTATTACAGATATGTTGTAGTTTCCGATCGCTTCACCAGTGTTGCCTCCGTTGCCATCCACAATTGACCCGATTAAAGTGGCGCTGGACGTTGTCGTTACCACAGCTCCAGTCAGAATTGGGTTGCTCGGAACTGAAATCAGACTTTTTATTTATTCCGACAGCCCTGAAAAGATTTTTTTTAATTCCAGCTATTTGAATCAAATACCCCCCCCCCCCCAAAGTACTTGACCAAACTTAGGCAGGCTTCGTCGCGCCTGAGAAAACGCTTCGCTCATGTTCGACCGAATTTGTGTATGCTTTGACCCTGATCAAGGTATGGTTGGATTTTTTGGTCCCGACTTAGACCCATAGGTTTAGTTTCAGTCGAGAATGATAGAACGAATCTCTTTGCTCTATTAAGCTTTCTCAAATGAACTTTTTTTCTTCTTCGAAATTCCAGTTTCGAAATTCCAGACTTCATCGAAATTGCAGTTTTTTAAAGGCGTGGCAAATACGGCTGGAAATCAATCCAAACTGACTTGAGGCCAGCAATTGGTGATAATAGTCTCAAAAGATGCACTTTATCACTTTGTAGTTAACATCGTTTTTAAAGAGAAGATTCATCAAAAAAAAATTCAGTTAGCAGGTGCTTTAATTTCTTTCTTTAGACTAGTCTTAAAATCCTTGCATAGATCTAACTAATGTCTATTAGATGAAAAATCTATGATTTAATAGATTACATTAGATGTGATTGGAAAATTGAACAAAAAATTGAATCTTCCGACCGCCCACTAATTTTCATGGAGTACTGCCCGATTTTACCGAAAATGATAAAATTCTCGATTTAAAACGGAACAATTTCAAAAAAAGTTCAATTTTGTTTTTTAAAATCAAACCCCACATGCCATTTTGCCATTTTGAGTACAAAATTAGATATATAAATAAAGTAACATTAAATTGAACAACTAGCTTTCCTCTATTTAATGTTGGAACAATGTCTGTGCCGGATTAAAAAGTCTCTCACAGGTGATAGTATCAAGTATATCTCTCGTTAATTGAACCAAGCAGGTCAAAATGGCCATTTTCAAAACCTAATGCTGTTGCAAAAAATATCACAATTAAAACCTTTTTTAAAATTAAGTTAAAGAGATCAATTATTATTTTTACATATGCTAAAATTCTTTCGAAAATTGACACGTAAAAATTCAAAATGGGTCTGCAGAAACAAAATCTTCCCGAGCACCACAAATTATTGTTCACTTTGATAAAATCAAAAGAATAAAATTAAATTTATTCGTTTTTTGGCCGGTGTTTCAAAGACAATATATGGAATATAAGTTTTTAATCTTGGTAGGGCAAATGTCTGTTTATCTGAAAACTTATTGAATATTCTTATCATTTCTAATTTTTTTAGAGAATTATTTTTTCCTCTTTTTTTTGCTTGTACGTTGTACAACTTTTTGGCTTCAAGTTGTGTTATATCTGAAATTGATTGAATGATCAAAGCTCCGACTTTCGAAGAAAGGTTGGAATAATTGTGCTCAGAGTGAGTTTTTTTGCAGAAAAAATTCGGCTTTTTATTTATCCACTTTAGAAAGGCATTTAAATATCTGAAAAGTATAATTAGCACAGTTTCTTAAACAATTTGAAAACAAACAAGACTGCTCGTATCAGGGCGAAGCCCTGAAGGTTCCGACTGCCTTTTAAGGTTTATGGAGCAGTAATAACATTAAAAAATTCAATTAAATAAAACAAAAGAATTTTTTTTTATAAAATGTGAAACTTTTTAATGAAAATCATCCCCCCACACGCCATAGAAAGTTTAAAAGGATATATTTCGCTCCTTGTAACAAACCAATTATGGCAAATAAGCTTCTTTTAACCAATTTGGAACGATTTCTAAGACGGTATAACTCTCCGCTTACGCGTTAATAGCGCGAAATATATCGCGCGTTAATTGTCCCAAATTGGCCAAAATGGCAATATTTAAACCCCCGTAACTTTACGAAAAACGATCACAGGTGAAATATCTTTTCAAATTTGAGCTCAAGACAACAATACCTTTTGAATGATTTTTAAAAAGTTCCGTCAAAAATGGCTAGTTAAAAAGTCGAAATTTGTCTGAAGAAAAAAAAAGCCACCCCGAGCACAAATATTCTGTTACTTTCGTATCGAAAGTCGGAACAAAAAGAATTAGTTCACTATTTCAATTCTTCTAAGAGTTTTCTTTAATTCAGCTCTGAAGTTTATAGTCGCCTCTTAAAAAAATCCTTGAAAAAAATATGAATTGAATGCTAGAGTTAGTCTTCTTCTGAAACAAATCTTAATGAAATTCAAGCTAAAATAATTTTTGAAAACTCAGCACTTTGGGGTGTTTTTTTTCTCCAGACAAATTTCGACTTTTTAACAGGCAATTTTTGCAGAATTTTTTTTTCTATATCAGCCACATGGTAATTTTGTCTTTGGCTCATTTTTAAAATTTCACCTGTGATTATTTTTCGTTAATTTATGGCTTAAAGATTGCCAATATGGCCATTTTGGGACAATTAGCGCGCGATAGATTTCGCGCAATTAACGCTTAAGTGGAGACTTAATTCAATTCCGTCTGAGAAATTGTTCCAAATTAGTTGAAACAAGCTATTTGACATATTTGTTACATTGCTTAGAGCAAAAACTGTCACTTTGTACTTTATATGACTAAGGAGGATGATTTTTATAAAAAAAAAAACTTAATTTTTAAATTTTTTTAAAAATAATATCGGTTTCTTCCAGCACATACTGAATGCTCGATAGACCTTGAAAAGCAGTTGGAACAATCAGGGCTTCACTCTGATACGAGCAGTCTTGTTGTAATTGGGGAGGGCAAATTGACCATTACTTTCAAAACTAAACTGAAATTGAACTCTACAAGAAACTGAAAGTCAAAACAGAAAGTTAATTCTGAGAGAAAAAAAAATAAAAGAAAAAGAGCGCTAAATGATGAAAATGACATTTTGTTCATATAGTGACACTTGAAAATTGCTGACCGGTGCAAAAAGTGAGGGTACTGGTGGCGACCGATTCACACTCCGGGTGATCATCAAGGTAGCCTTTGAAGGACGCGTTGTACTTCTGCCCAGCCGACAGTCCACTGATGGTGAGATTACTACTTAGAGTCCCGTTGGTCACATCTCCAGTGCCAGTTGCCAGTGTCTCCAACAACCATCCGCTTGTAGTCCCGTTTACGCCCGGGCTCGTATAAGTTGAGAAACCACTTAGAACTGCGTTGACAGTTGTCGCATCCACACTCACATCAGAAAGTTCTGGAGGCCGTGTAGCTGCAGCAAATAAAACTCAAATTAAAAAGCCAAACGGGGCTGACAAAATAATTTGAACTCCGCATTTGCTAGTTATAACTCTACCTATAGCTCTTAATTATTTACGCAAGAACTGCCTTAGTTCAGTATAATAAGCAAAACTACGGAAATCACTAACATTTGCGGAATCCGGAAAAAAAGTTGAAGCAGACAAAACTATTATGCGGACAAAATTTACGTTACGCGTATTTGTTCGCGGAATCCACTGAAATTTAGTAAGTGGAATCAACTTATATTTTGAAACCTGAACCCAACCCCTGTAAGTCTTTTCTTACTAAGGTCCTAGTTAGAAAAGTAGAGGCGCGTTAAAAGGATACTAACTAAGCTAACCTAATTGTTAAATTTAAAACTACAAGTAAGTTAAAAGAAAAATAAACTGAATAGTGTAAAAGCAAACTTAACCCGCACCGGAGTTCCATGGATAACAATCGATTAAATTGAATTTTCGTGGTCTGTCTCAATAAATTTCGATTATAATCGATTGTAATCGATTAAAAATGGATTATAATGAAGCTATTTTTCTAACCAAAAAAGTCCGAATATAATCGATTATTTATGAAAGAAAATGAAACTCGTTTTTGAGGCAAAATAATCCAATTTTAATCGATTATAATCGATTACAATGGATTTTTTCGAGTGGTTATTCATTAAATTTACAATTTTGTTCAAATTATCTCATTTCCCGCTTAGCGCAGTTGCTACGTATTACGTTTCATAAAATGTTACATTTCAGAATAAAATTTATAATTTTTTGTCTCTTCTTTTTGTAACCACAACTGTTTTTGTCTCTTCTTTTTGTAACTGTTTTTGTAACCACAACCCCGCCCCACCCCCATTTGGCGGCCCCCACCCTCCAGTTTACCGCCCAACCCCAGTTTGCCGCCCCCCCCCCCCCCCCTCCCATCAGTTAAGCCCCCAGTTAAGCTCCCCAGTTTACAACATCCCACCAGTTTACTACCCCCCCCCCCCGCCGCGTTTAACCCCCCTCCCACCATTTACCCTCCCCCAGTTTACCGTACCCCTTTAGCTGAGAGGGGGAGCTTGAGGGGGCTAGGGGATGACGTTGAGACATCGAATTTAGTAAAAGACATTGCATAAATTCTGCAAATTTCTCGCAAAATTTGCAAGTTTTTGCAAAAATAATGGAATTTAGTTCCAAACATTAAATAGGCTATAATCAATTATGATGAATTATATTGGATTTTGTTTCAAAAGAATCGATTATAATGGATTATCTAGGCAAAAATAATCGATTTCAGTGACAAAAATAATGGACTATAATCGATTATAATGGATTAAGATGGATTTTTATTTTTAGAAAAAATCGGTTTTAATGACCACATAATCGATTACGTGGCCTGAATTTGCCACAATAATGGATTATAATGACAAAATTTTGGACAACATTTTTCCATTATAATCGATTATTATCCATGGAACTCCGGTGCGGGAAGCCAAAAAATGAGCAATGGTGACGAAAAGCTATGTCGCTTTTGGCAGGTAAAAACAACCCGCACCGGAGTTACATGCATTAAAGTCGATCCATTATTGTGGCAAATTTAGACCACGTAATCGATTATATTGTCATAATAATCAATTATTTTCGTAAAAACACAATCCATTAAAATCCAAGAGATTCAATACTATCCACAATCCTGAAAGGGTTAAGTTGGTTGCAACTATTTTGTATTGTACTCTCCCCCTCTTTATGTTGTTCTTGAGGCTGTCTTGCTCGCTCTCGCCAACCGCAAGAATTTCCAGTAGTAATTTATTTCAGCTAATATAATTCCAAATACAGAAGGCTATAAGTCGCCAAGATAAAATCTACTAATTTAACGAAAGGAAAGGGTCCGCGATCTGTTGGTATAGTGTTCTAATTACTCTAAGAAAAATTTGATTAACTCTGTTCTATGATTCTTTTTCTTTAAAGAACCCCAACAATCAATTACACACAGTAATTCTTCACTGTCTCTCAGTTCGAACTGCTAAAATTAATAGTGTCCCGATGGATCGCTATTCCTTTGAGGTACTTCAACTGATCTCCCAACTTCGCAATTTTTCGTTCTCCAACTCTGAGAACCAACTATCTGCTAGCGTTTCTCTTCTTTCTCTCTATCTAACGAGAACCAACTACTATCTCTAGTAATTATCACTGTTCTCTATCTGACTGAGATTCAACTAATCTTCTATTTAGCTATAACTGTTCTCTAACTAACTGGGAACCAACAGTTTGCTCTCACAGTTGCCGGGAAGCTGAGTAAATAACCCTTTCATTCGTAGTTTTTTGGGAGACCTATTTCCCATGTTATGCCTCTGATACTGCTTATTTCCTCTGAGACTAACTTTCCTCAGTCAGATTGCATTTCCATAAATAGCTCATCCACCAATTTAAGTTAAACCCAATGTTTGCCGAGTTCACTTTAATTAGTTCCACTACTTCTTTGATACAATGTATAAGTTATATCTCTTTCAGCTTCTGTCTCATTTCCCAATAGGCAAGTTCCCTCCCAAATATTAGTAGGGTGACCAATGGTCCTTTACATGGGTTGGGGTCGAATGAATACGCCACTTTCCGGTGTTAATCCCGAGATTTTCTATACAAATTTGGTCCTAAACGCCAAAGGTCAATTTGAGGTCACCCCGGGGTCACTCGGGGTGCTCCTTTCACATTCAGGTTTAGAATCCCGTAAGGGTCCTAACTACCAAGTTTCATCCGTATCCCGTTAATACTTCCCAAGTTATCCCAATTCTACGGTCCATTATCACTTCTCCCGTAAAAAAGCTATTAACACCGGAAGGAGTCGCCAGAGGGGTTTCAATCACGAGGGATATTTTTCGAGGATGAGTTGTAGTGCATTTTGCCGCCCTAAAATCAATATGTCCTTGCTCATTATTTTGCGTAAATAGCCTAATTCCGGTTTCAGAGGTAGTTTTCCAAAGTGCTCATAACTTAAGGTCCAACCACCGGATATGGTTCAAAATAGATTACATGATGTATGACGTCACTATCTATGCTATCCCAAAATTATAGCTCCCTGCGTTTATCAATGGGGGCCGAGAGTCGGGGTGGGTACTTCCGGAAGTCGGGGTGGGTACTATTTGCACAAGGCACAGCACCGGAAGTAGGCGTTCAGGGGGTCTGGGATTCTAAACTAAAGCTTCACTCGACTGGGTCTATAACATACTATGTTTTGGTTCCATTCCAGCGCTTAAAAACAGAGTTCTGATAGGGCCATTTGCACTTCTGGGAACCGTTATCACTTTGGGCTGGGGGTCTGAGGGGTCTGGATTTTTGCATGCCCGGGTCAAATCATCTCTAGTATCCGTCCTATAAGTTTCATAAAGTTAGCCACTGTAGTTTCCATTTGGGGGGGTCCGCCGATCTTACTTCACCTGCGTTTTCCATCATATGAGGGACTATATCCTTGGGGATTCGAACTATTTTGGACTTTGAACACTGTTTAATTACTCTTCTACTCATCTTATTGACTAAACAAACTTCATAGTACGCGCTCCCCACTAGCTTTAGAAAACTGCATGCATTTACCAAGGTAAAGCTCTCACTTGAACTCTAAGTTAGGCAAAAAGTGTTAGGATGGCCTTTCTACTTGCTAATTAAACATATCCAACACCTTAAATTCAAAACTGACGCAACATCATGTTGCTAACCGCTCTACTAAACAAAATAAAACTTTCTGTTAAGCTTGCATGTCCATTAACAACCAGGTAACATCACTTGTCTTTCGCTCGTACTTACCAGTCCTCAAGATGATTATCACGCTGATGCCTAACCTTATGGTTATTCTTCCTTGATTCAGCATTACAGTTCCTAAAATTTAACCGCGGACCCATCAGCCAAATCCCCAAGACTAAAAATAATTTAGCTAGTAAGCACCATTTGTTAAGAGAATCTTTACTAGGGGATTTGTCTGCTGTTAACTTTACTTATCGTGGTACGACTCAAACTCTCTTTTACTCAGCAGAGTTAATGCTCAACAGTTACACACAAAATACTCAGCTGGAGTGTCACTTAGAAAAAAAACAAGCACCCCAGTTTTGAATGATAAAATTTTCAGAAAACTAGTTTTAACTCACATACTCGTCAATACCAAACCGAACTGGTGGCCTTCTTATTCGAACTGGTCTACCTACATCTGTAGCCCCACTTTCCAGCACAGGTTCAGCTACCACCGTCTCATCCGGTGGTTTACCCTCAGCTTCGCTCGGTAATTTCGCGGCCTCTTCTTCCCTTCTGGCTTCCATTTGCTTTTCGTCATAGGTGTCCACCGCGTCGCTCTGCCGTCGCAAGACTCCGTCTAGCCCAGGAGGATTAACTATTAGCTCCACCACTACTCAATTTCTTCGCGACTTCAATCCCACGGGTTCTTGCCTTGGGCCTGGATCATGATTGAATCCCTCCCGATTGTTCGCCCAAAACGCCTCGTCTTCGACGTGCATATCCAGATCGTCAACAATTGTCGTCGACCGATATGGTGTCAGTCGCTTCCTTGCAATAGCTTCCTCTGGGTGCCTCGTGTCCTGCAATCTTCGCTTCAGCATGTTAAAGTGCATGAATTTCACTTTACTGGGAGTCGATTGCTTTGCCACCTTGCAGGTCACTTCGGAAATCCTGGCCATTACAACGTGTGGTCCTTCCCACGGATCGAAAAACTTCTTCGACTTCTTTTCTTTAGACCACACCCAGACTTTTTCACCAGTTGCATAGGGATCCCCGTGAATTTTCTTCCAGTACTGATCCTTTTGTCGACATTGATCCCTCCCTAGGACTTTTCTCGCACTGCCGTGTGCATCTCGGATTTGCTCGTCTAGCCATTCCGCAAAACCATCTTTTATGAACGGTTCAATGTGGGGCTTTGCGTAGAACAGGTCAACTGGATACTGGCACTCCTGTCTATGAACCATACTGAACGGCGTAGCTCCCGTTTTCCGATTGATTGTCG